AGGGAGAGAAGGAGCAGGGGGAGGGCCAGAAGGAGAGGGAGAGGGAGAATCAGACTCTCCACTGAGCAGGGAGCCAGATGTGGGGCTTGATCCCAGGACTCCAGGATCATGACCTGAGCTGAAGGCAGACGTTTAGCTAACTGAGCCACCCAGGCACCCCCATATACTGTTCTTATTAACAAATACCTTTATGCACCATCTCACAGTTAAAATGGAACACACATAGGATAATCTTGTTTCGTGTTGTAGAAATTCTGAGCTGCATATTAATTCAAACTTTTTAGATCTTTCGACTTTTTAGGCTGCAGGTAGTTAGATGTATGCACTTTTGAATACCCAGTCTTTCTAAATGTTATAACTAATCCTTAAAAATTCATATAACTCTTATAAATAGTCACCACATAGCTATTGCCTGCCAGGATGTGGGTTTATGAACTATCAGGAGTGGTTTGCACTTGCTCTCCGAATGCTTACTTGTTCATTGGCTGAGGCGATGTTAAGTCAAATCCAGCTGAAATTTTGGGGAAATGTACCTAGTGATTTATATAGGGAAGCCTAAGAAATCAAGCCATGACTACAGAGTGTCTGCCTTGGGAAAGGAGAGGAAGAGGCAGATACAAGGAACTATGAGTGTTTTAATCAGCTGAGGCTTCTATAATGAAATACTATCAGGAAAGTGTCTTAAACAACAAATATTTGTTTCTCATAGTTCTAGAAGCTGGGATGTCCAAGATCAAGGTGCTGGCAGGTTCAGCGTCTGGTGAGGATCCTCTTTCTGATGCAGACAACTGCTTTCTTGCTGTGTCCTCAGTGGCAGAGACAGAGAGAGAGAGAGAAATAGAGAGTGGGGGAGAGAACAAGAACTCTGATGTCTCTTCCTCTTCTTAAAGGGCACTAATCCCATCATGGTGCCTTCATCCTCATGACCACATGACCACATTTAAACTGAATCGTCTCCCAAAGGCCCCACCACCTAATATATCACATTGAGGATTTCACACATGAATCAATCCACACATGGATGAGGAGAGGATACATTCAGTTCAATAGTATTGAGGGATATAAGTGGTACTTGGCGGTTGATAGGTAGGGAATACACCAATATAGGTGGCTTCAAGGTATGATGTGGCAGGCATGAGGACATCTAGAGGTTTGGGGAGAGGGGAATTCCAGATCATTCAGGTAGAGGAATTCAGCTGGCAGCTAGAAACCTGGTTGTGTGTATCCAAGAGAAAGGGGTCAGAGCCATGGATATAGAATGGAGAGCGGTGCTCATGGTCCAGAATTAAGGTCGTGAGTTGGCCAGTGAGTGAAAGTGAATGAAGACAAGGGAAATGCATGGCACATAGTTGGGGGTGGCAATCAGAGGGGCCAGAAGGAGATTTGAGATGGATAAAGGAAACTAGAAGGCATGCAAAGTAGGCTGATAATGGCCCCAGAGATTTCAGATACTAATTCCTGGAACCTGTAAATGTTAGCTTCTGTGGGCTAAAGGATCTACAGGTGTGATTGATTTACCCACTCTGAGATAGAGGGAGTATTCTGGATTATCCAGGTGGAAGCACATGTTTCCTTGTAAGAGGGAGGCAGAAGGAGACTTGACACACACAGAAAAGGCAGTGTGACCACACATGCAGACATGGGGGGATACTGTTGCAAGCCAAGGAGTGTCAGTAGCCACCAGAAGCTGTAAGAGGCAGGGAACGGATCTTCTCCTAGAGCCTCCAAGGGCAAGTGACTTCGGTTCTGGCCCAGGGAAAGCCATTTTGGACTTCTGACCTCCAGAACTATAAGAGAATAAATGTGTGTTCTTTTAAGCTAAGGAATTTGTGGTAATTTGTTACAGCAGCTATGAGAAACTAATACAGCATGCTGACTGAACTAGACTGGAGGCAAAACAGAAGAATACAATGTTTTGGAAACCAAAGGGAGAGACAGCTTGAGAGGAGGATGTGGCCATCAGAAACAAGCTACAGAGGGGGCAGGAGAGGACTGAAGAAAGAGTGCTGGAGGTGGTGACAGCAGCTTGCGTGCTGGTAGGGAGGATACAAAGCAGACTGAAGGATCTGAGCTGTGAGTCAGCACTGGGAAGGGGAAGCAGTGGATATAGGCTCCTAGGTCTACAGTTCAGTGCAGAAAAGGAAAGTCAAGATGGCAATTGGTGAAAAAATCTTGGAGGCTGCATATCTTATCTTTTTAAACTAGTAATACAAACACATGTTTAAAATGTAATTGATGCAGAAGGGGCGCCTGTGTGGCTTAATCCTTTACACGTCCAACTCTTGATCTCAGGTCCTGAAATCAGGGTCTTGAGTTCAAGCCCCACATTGGGCTCCATGCTGGCCATGGAGCCTACTTAAAAAAATAAGTAAATGAAAAGAAAAGAAAATGTGAATGACACAGAAAGGTATAAAATTAAATTTAAAGCCTTCCTCCATCCTTGTTTTCTGCTCTGACCCTCAGCTTGCTCCCTAGAGGAAAACTGTAAGTGTTAGTGTATGCCTCCAAAAAATCTTTACAGCGCAGCAAGTATATACAGAATCCCCTGTCAATGGACACTCAGACTCTTTCCAGGTTTCTGCTATTAAAAAAAACAATGTCATGGGACACCTGGGTGGCTCACTCAGTTAAGCATCCGACTCTTGGTTTTGGCTCAAGTCGTGATCTCATGGGTCTTGAGATCAAGCCCTATGTTGGGTTCGTGTTCAGTGGGGAGTCGGCTTGAAGATTCTTTTCCTGTGCACCTCCCTCCACTCACACAGTCTCTCTCTCTCTCTCTTTCAAATAAATAAATAAATAAATAACCTTTTAAAAGGCAATGTCATTGTGAGCCTCTAGGTGCATACATCTTGAAGTATTTGGGCTAATATCCATAGGTTGATTCCTAATCATGAAAATACTGAGTCAAAGGGTAAATGTATTTAGGATTGGGGTAGATATTTCCTCAATGCCCTGTCAAAGAGTTTTGCTCCTTTTTATTCTCTTTGGTAATGTATGATTGCATCTGTTAACCCCACATCTTCAGTAACACTGAGCTTTATCAAACCTTTTCATTTTGGCCAGTCTGGTAGATGAAAAATTGTATCTCTTTGCAGTAGATCTCTTTAGTTAGAGTGATCTCATTGTTTCTCATGTTTGCCAACCATTTGTACGTCCTTGTGAATTACCTGTTTCCATTCCATACTTAAATATTTGTTGAATGCCATGGCACGATCCAATGAACCCACTCTACAGACAGTAACATGGACCAATCTCATATACACAACGCGATACAGACACAGACCAGCACTTCCAGTACGATTCTGGTATGCCAACGCCAAAGACCAGACAGAACTCATCTCTGGTGTCTGAAGTAGGCCAGTGGTCACTCTTGGCAGAAAAGTGACTAGGAAGGGGCCCAGGGGAGTAGATAGACTGGGAAGTGTCTGTAGTGGTGGGTTATTTTGCTTCTTGTCCTGGCTGCTGGTTCCATGGGTGTGTCCACGGTGTGAAATTCAGCGAGTTGTAGACGTAACAGTCAGCACACTTTTATGTACGTTAGACTCCCAACAAAAGAAAAAAAGGAAAGTGAGGAACTTTTTATAAACATTCTTGAATGCTTAGAATGTGCCAAGCACTGTGTACAAGTCAGGCGAGGGCCCCGCTTACATTCTAGAATAAGATCAACGTGTCCAATGCTGAGCACTGAGCCCAGCACAGAAAAGCGCCTAAAAAGAATTGGCTGGTATGATTCACTTTAAGAGGGAGAAACCACAGGTGCCTGCAGAGACCGAAAGCCAGCATAGTATGGACAGAAGGACACACAGACATGAGAGAACCATAGGACACGAGGCTGCAGGCCGAATCAGGAGCAGATTGGGTAGGACCTTGTCAGAGACCCGAGTGAAAGGAATTAAAATTTATCCTAGAAGCAGCTAGGCTCCGGCGAAAGGTCCTAAGCAGAAAAATGCATGGTCAGGACAGGTCAACTTCTTCTAATCGTCCTGAGTTCTCCCTCGGCTTCCCCAAATCCCAGCTGTCAGGCTGAAGCTGTCTACATGTATCTGAAGCCAGTTGGATCACAGTGGGACTCTACCCTGGTCCCGGTTTCCCCGGGCCCTGACCTCTGAAACCAGCCCTATGAGGCTCTTCCAAGCATGTCACCACTCTCTGGCCTGAGAGCTAAGAAAATCTTGACTTTAGGCAACCTCAGAGTCTGGGGTCGAATGCACACGACCGGGTGCTGAGAGGTTGCTCTCCAAGCGTGTGTCCATCCTACAGAGATTCCGCGGCTTAGGTCTGGAAGGGACATCAGAGACTCCTGCCCCTCAATTTGTGTCTGCGGAAAGGAGGCCAGACAGGTTCTCCTGATCACAATGAGTAGGTAGGAAAATAGGGCTAGGCGCCAGTTCTCAGGACCCCATTCTCTCCCATTCCCCAGCAGTTGAGCTCAAAAATGTCTGCTGTTCAGAGAAGAGGTCTGGGTAGAACAATTTAGTTACGAGGGGTGGGGAGCTTAAGCTTCTTTTGCATATAACATTTTACTAACACTGAGGAAACATCAGCAGTGTGCATCGAAGAATGAGGAGCTGTTGGAGAATGAGTGGGAGGATGGGGATACTAAATGCCTCCCACATCGTTCTTCTCTTTCCCACCAGAAAGGCTGCCAACACCTCTTTTCATGACTAAAGATCCCAGGTCTTTTCCTGAGCTGCAGAATCTACAGAACCTTTATCCTCAATTTAGATGCTTAATGGGCACGAAGAAGCACAGTTAGAGCGGAAAGCAGGAGATAACCAGGCTACCAGAAGGGATGGGTGATGTCCATGACCATGGGCACCCTTTCCCTCCGTGAATGACACCGCAGTTGCCAGGGTGGCTACTTTCTTTACTAACGTGGGTCCCTTTAGCAGCAGTTTCTGTCTCCGAGCCCCTGTGACATGCGCCTGAGGTTGGGAAGAGAGAGGAAGCGAGGGCTGACTCCCCACCAGATGTCTGATGCTGTCCTGGGTCTGTTTCAGGGGAGGCCCAGAGGCCAGAACGAGATGAAAGCCGGGCCACTACTGAGGCACTGATCGCACCGGAGGATGCTGGAAGACCGGCCAGCCGCTCCCCAGCAACTCAGAGCCATGGGAACCAGTGCAACCCCTTTCATCCTTCATCACCCCGGGTAGCATCTGAGGAAGAAGGCATAAACAGGCTTGGAGGGGAAAGAATGAAACTGACAGAGGCAGAACCTGAAGCGGTCAGAAGAGCGAGTCTCGGAGAGACTCAGAGGCACGAGCCGGGGACAGCCCCACCGGGCCTGGCCTCCAAGGGGGAGGTCCCCAAATCTTGCCTGGGCTCCTTTGAGTCCAGCCAGGCGGCAGTCGAAGCCTCCAGCCCGGAGGACAGCAAAGAGACCCCAGAGGGTGGCGGCACGAGGAGCGCAGTGAAAACCTGAAGAGAAAAGAGACCCATGTGGTGACACGTCTACAGTGCAGGGGGCGGTAAAGAATTAAGTGTCTGAGCAGCTCTCAGAAGCTGCTTTCTCCTCACACTTCCAAGTCTACAAGTGAGAAGAGACACAGGTCCTTTGGCAAACTGTGAATATCCTGATGATGCCAGCCCAGTTTGATTTATTAAATGCGCGTCCTCAAGCTTCTCGGTGTCATCTCTTTCTGCCGGAGACGCGCTGCTGTGAACACGGCCGGGCACAGAATCGTGTCAGCCATATGGCTAGTTTTCGGCATCCGTCTTTCTGTCAGCATTTGTTTTATTAGAGATAAGACATTTTTCTATTAGCGTTTAATGTTGTCGATCAAAATTATGGGGAGAGCATGAAACGGATGGGGTTTTTAATCAGGTCCCCCCATCTTTGTAATGGTTAGGCCGCTGGAGAGAAAAGTGGCATTGAGCATAATGGGTCCAGAGGGCCCACAGCTCCGCTCCATCATGTCAGGGCCCTGGAGGACCTCCCAGCGTGGGTGTTCTTGGCACCCTGCCCACGGCCCTGTCTGTCATGCCACCGACTGGCAGGTGGAGAAGGGCTTAAGCGGGCTCAGAAGGTTGGGTTTCCTGTTTGAAATCCACGGCCCCTGTGGAGACCCGTTTGTGGACTGCTTGAGCTGAGTTTCCCAGCCTGTAATTCCGAAGGATTAATCGACCTGGAGTGATGGGAGGGAGGAGAGGGGAGGAAGGGGACTCCAGTGGTATTTTGATTTTTTCATTTCTGAGATAAGAGCCAGAGCCTGGGAGCACTGGTTCTCTGCATTCAACCTGTGCTGCCTATGGGGTTTTTGTGGCGATGGGGGGTTGGAACCAGATAAGCACTTGGGGCAGGAAACTCTTCAGGCCCATCCAGTTTCCTGTGCCACGTGAAACCTTCACTCCTCCTGCAGTGGATTAAGGCTGCCTCCCTGTGCTGCCAGGTACCAGACCTTGAGACACAGAGCATGCGGCCCAATAGTGGAAAAAGAGCGGGAAACAAAATAACTTCATTACAGCTTGTTTCGGGGGACTGCGGAACCAAGGACCAAGGGTAGGAAGGGAGGGGATGTCAACCTTCCTTGGTTTTTTCCTGAGGGATAAAATTAGCTCTTCTGGATGGCACCTAGAGCTGCAGAAAATGGAAGACTCATCAAACAATAGGCCTTTCTTTGAGCAAAACTCAGTTCATTACCCCGGAAAGGCCTGATCCCAGAGCTCAAAACACCCTTGAGAACCAGAATCACTCCTACAAGAGGCTCTCCTGAGGGAAAGGAGAGGCTCCCGAGGTGGGAAAATGGCAAATTTATCTGAAATATCAGATGTGTAGAGCAGATGCACACTCCCAGGTGTGAACCCTGTGAACCCACCCACCTGGAAACTTCCCTGCCACATTTCATCTTTGCCCTTACTCTGCTGGTGGAAATTTTGCACTCTTTCACCCCGAAGGAGAGTGAAGTGTAGGCAAGAAGGTCCAGCTTGGGGCCGGGGTGGGCCTCCAGCTGCTTGCTTCCCACTCAACAGACGTCACCCCGATAGTGGAAGAGGGGTATGCCCGGGTCAGTGCTCTGTCGCTCCCGGACCGAGGAGCTGGGATCTGGACACACCATTAGACCCCAAAGCCCCATTCATCCCTCTGTGCTTCAGCCTCTCCCAGCTCCCCACCCCCGCCCCCTTGACTTCCTCTCCAGGGAGGCGGCTTCTGCAGCTGCAGAGTTCGCACAAGCCAGCAGGCACGGAAATAATTTTCCTGCGGCACCAGGCCTTAACTATTTGCAAATGTTCAGCGCTACTGCATAGCCTGCCAGAGCCACCAAAGGAAATCACAGCCAGATTTAATACAATAATAATAAAAAGAAAAAAATCTCTCCCCACAGAAGCAGTGGTTTTGACGCGCAGTCGGCCAGGTGCACGTCTTTAGGGCCCATTCCATCACCTTTGGGAAAGCAGCACTTATAATAAACTCCACCACATTCCATCACGGGCAGGGAAACTACTGTGAGTCCCAGAGAATGTGGAGTTCAGGGTAGGGGGGTCAGAGGGAATGAAAACCCAAACTGTGCATGCAGTCTACCTCAGAAGGTTTTCTGTTATTAGATGGAATTGGGGCCAATGAGTTGATCCTGTGTCATGAGTAACCTTGACAATGCCCCATACACACACGTGACACTGTCCCACCCCTGCTGTTCCAGCCCAGTGCGGTTCCTCTGTTCCACAGACAGTAAAGGGAGTTTCAGCAGTTACTTATGGCTGTCTTTTGTCTTTTTGAGAGTCATCGTGAAAGTGCACAGCATTCTCTCCCCTGTTCTACCAGCTAGCCTTGCATCAGTCTGAGCACGCTCAGCCACATTTCACACTTTAAGAGATTTAAACAATAGGAAAATGAATTATATTACATAACAAGAACTTCAGAAGTAGGGTATTCTGGGGCTGGTTTATTCAAGAAGTCATCAGGGATCTGGGTTTCCATCTTTCTTCTCTGCCTACCTCAGGGTCAGCTACTCCCTCAAGCTGCCAAGATAGCTGCCACAGCTCCAACATCAGTCACCTGTGTCCAAAGGCAAGAAGGAAGTTTCTCCCCACATGTGTCCATGCATGTGTGTGCATGTGCACGAGTAAGAGTAAGAAACCTAGTTCTTGTCGCCTGTCAGTGGTCAGAATCATCACATGCTTATGTCTAAACCAAACCCTGACGAGGGAGATGGAATTCCAGAAAAGGGTTTAGGCTCCTCACAGGTGAACTGGGGTGGGCCTGTCCCTGGGCATGCAGACTCTAAAATGGTAAACAGCAAAACAAAATTGAGCAGTACAGGGAAGTTGAGAAAAGATTTAAATAGGCCAACAGCAGCATTGTCTCTGAATCCCACCTCTGATTTTGTTTCATTTTCTTCCCTTGAAAAGGCAGACTATCGAGCTACTCATGAGTTTGGGGCTGGGGGGCGGGGCCGTGGTTGTTTGTTAAGAAGAATGCCATCTCATCTCGGCTCTTCCCTGGCTGCTTGATCATCTGTTCTGTCTTGCAGCTGGGACGTTCCCACCTTTGTTTGCCTCTTGGAGTGTGTCTGTCCTTCCATTATTTTTCCAGCTCGGTTGCCAGCAGAATGCAGAGCAGTCTGGATAAATGAAACAGAGCTGACAGTCTCTTAATGAAAGCTTGTTTGCACATACTGCATTTCTGGTGACCGCTCTGTACCTGAGAGCCTTTAGGTGTGGATTTTTACATATGAGCATGTGTCGTTCTTTTAATTAAGGTCTCTGGAAATGGATTGGCTTTTTTAAACCAGGCATCTCTCATCCCTAACTCCTCTTTCCATGCCGCCTCTGCCCACCTTCCTCTCCCCCTCCCTCGTCTTCCTCACCTCACACAGCTGTTCCAGAAGCCTCTCTAGCTAGGAGGCTCCTGGGGGCATTCAGCTCAATCCCAGCTGAAGCTTCCAACCACTCCGGGCTCTTCAACTAAACACATTTTCCTGTCATTGTGACTCTTGTGCCCTCAATCCCCAACACCCACCAAGACAGGGGATTCTAAAAAAGCTTTCCAGCATCAGTCATTCACGTGTTGGGGTGAATCTTCGGCTGTGTTAGTTCCATGGGAGCATTTGCACTTACCATGTGACATAAGACGTTCAATCTCTTCCTTAAGGAATTTCAAAGACCAGCTACCTGCTCATTGGTGTTACCTTCCTTGTTTCTTTAATATTACAGCATGCCTTCTCCCCTCTTGGTTTTCTGCTCCTCCAAAAAATGGGGCCTCTCCTGGCCCCCATCGCTTTGCTGCAGCCTTTTGGATGGCTTGGTATTCCTCTTCTCTTTGAAAAATTCCTCTCTCAGGGCGCCTGGGTGGCTCAGTCGGTTAAAAGTCTGCCTTCGGCTCAGGTCATGACACTAGGGTCCTGGGGCCTAGAATTAAGCACCATGTTGGTCTCCCTGCTCAATGGGGTTCTGCTGCTCCCACTCCCTCTGCCTGTGCTCTCTCTCTCCCTCTCAAACAAATAAACACAATCTTAAAAACAAAACAAAACAAAAAAGAGTCCTCTCTTTGAGTACCTTCTCTGTCTGCCCTTTGCTTTCATGGAAGCAACGGAATGGAAATGGAATGGAAAGGCTTCCAAATGAAAGCCTCCATTTGGACAAGCCTCCCTCCTTAATAAATACTTACGGTACCAAGACCCGGCTCAGTCAGGATGTCAAGAAGCCAAAAGATTCCCCTTAACTCATTATTTTAATATATTCCTTTTTTTTCCACATGTCTTTCTGAACAGAGAAAAAATTTGAAAATCAGAGATGCAATAGAGAGCTGAGTAGTGAATCTAATTAGAAATGAGAAGCAGAAAATATAAGAAGGACCTGTCTCTCGATATTATGATTGCTCACAAAAACAAAACAAAACAAGTTGATACAGTATGAAGGCAATTTAAAATGATAGATACAGATGCACGACCTTACATTTCAGATCACCTCTTGACTGAGAGGGATTTTTTTTTTTTAATAGGGAAAGTTTGTACAATACTGACAAGTTTGACTTTCTGGAATCTATGTGAGCCCTGGAATATATTTTGGATCTTGGCCAAGGCTAGTGATAGCCCATTAAATTTAAAACGATTTGCTTTTAAAAAAAGGCAAACCAGCTGCTATCTTGTAGTTTAATTTTTTTTTTTAAGATTTTATTTATTTATTTGACAGAGAGAGATCACAAGTAGATGGAGAGGCAGGCAGAGAGAGAGAGAGAGAGAGAGAAAAAGGGAAGCAGGCTCCTTGCTGAGCAGAGAGCCCGATGTGGAACTCGATTCCAGGACCCTGAGATCATGACCTGAGCCGAAGGCAGTAGCTTAACCCACTGAGCCACCCAGGCGCCCTTTGTAGTTTAATTTAAAGAAAGAAGTAACTTCTATTCATTTGCAGACCCTGTGTTACTGGTTTCTACGATTATCATGTAATATAACTATATCTTTTTTTGTTACCTGAAATAAACATGTGGTAATTTTCCTGGTATAGATGATTATCTTTATTATTTGCACCATTTTCTCTCTCCACCCTCACTGCAGGCCAGTGATACAGGCTGAGCTTTCCTCCTAGCGCATTCTAACAACTTATCAGTTGCAATCTGTCACCTAAAATTATTAGATCATATGGCAGTCATGAAAATTATGGAGAATGTAAAGATTTTATGCAT